TGCCCTTGTATTGAAGGAAGCTGAATGATGGTGATTCTTGTGATGGTTACATTGGATTTATTTACTGTTTGGTTTAGGTGATTTCATGTCATTTTCACAGTGCGGCAGTCATCCTGTTCAGCTTATACAGTGCTTCATTATTTAGAATTCATCATTTACAAGATGTTTCTTTAGCATATGTAGCATGCATATGCAGAAAACATTTGACAGTTGACAACAGTTGACAAATTCTGGACCCTGTTAGACAGTCCCAGGATATTGGAGCCCATCCTGCATGGTCTTTGTCTTGCAGGAATCAGGATGAGAGCATCGTGGCAACTGTTAGAACTTTCTGTATTCCAAGCACTGAAATTATGACGGTCCTGTTAATAAAAGTAATCTACTGCCTAACAGTAAAAGTAAAGCTCCAGCTTCAGTGTCAGCAGAGAGGCAGCATTGGAGAGTATGGTAAGGTAAGGCACAACTGACGTTGAACTTCAATTCAATGATGGGGCTTAATTTACTCCCACTAACATCAATGATGTGGCAGATTTTACACCTAATGGCACAATTTACTTCCACTGACTCCAATGATGGGGTTTATTATACTCCTACTGACACTGAATGCTGCTAATTTTACTTCCGCTGACAGCAGTGTGGCTTACTGTACTCCTATTGACACCAACTGGGTCTTATTTTACTTCCATTGATAAAAACAGGGATTTTTCTACTACTATTGAAACCAACTGGGGCTTATTTTCTTCCAATGACTCCAATGATAAGGGTTATTTCATCCTGCCAACACCAACAATGGGACTTATTTTTTATCCCACCGACACCAATGATAGGGCTTGTTTTATCCTGAAATCATCATTAATAGAGCTTATTTTTCTCCCACTGACACCAAGGATGGGGCTTGATTTTTACACAGACACTAATGATGGGCTATCCCACCGATACGGAAGACTGGGCTATTTGTTTTTCCCAAAAAACACCATCTGGGCTTATATTTGCAAACACTCAGCAGCAATGTATTTACCAAGTCTTTTATTATCTCAAGGGTTGCTGATTGCTACGGAATCCCCAACTATATTATTAAACTCTTCCTGCGGATGTGACGCATATATGAGGCCTCTCCGTGGGTGGGCTTTAGCACTGAGTGGCCGCATATATGCATCTACTTGTAAACAATTTGCTGTACTGAAAGCGTGCTCACTGCGCTCTCCCAGCACAGAAACCAACATGTAGCGAAAAGCTTCAGATGCACACTTGCAATTGAAAGGTTTCCGAACGTATGACTGCCCGCCTCCCAGCACTTTGTACCAGTTAAAGGGTCGGGAGGAGGCAGTGAGAAGTGGTTGATGAAGTTCTTCTTTAAGGTTGGCCCAAAGTATTACACCTCTCTGTCTGGTGTAAGAAAAGTATACCTTGAAGAAAAGTTGAATTTAAAAAAATATATATTTTATCCTAAACTAGTTTGCCACTTTGGATGTGTCTAGTATGTCTAATAAATGAACAGGTTAAAACAAGCTCATGGCTACAGTGGCAGCCATGAGCTTTTATATTCTTTATTTTCAGGCTTTGGGCCTTCATGTAAAAGTGATCTGAGCAGCTGTGAAGCCACCTGATCACTTTTACGTGACTGGCATGTGCTGCCCCCCCCTCCTGTCTTCCACCCCACTCCTTCCGTTACCCAATTTCCTCTGTAGCAGTATGAACAGGAAGTGCTCAGCTCTGAGCAAGTCTTGCACAAAGCTGTTAAAATCCTGGCTAGAAAGCAAACAGCTGAACAAGCACACTCCTGTGCTCGTGTTGGCTGGAGAAAAGGGCAGGGGAGTCAATAGGGGTCTAATAGACCCCTGATGTCTCTATTAAGAGGATGTGTCACCTACCCAGTGCAAAGTTTTACTCCATTTATCGAACAATATTTAAACGAAGGCAGCACCAGAGCTCTTTCTGTGTCTGTTTACATATTGTTAAAGGCTAAGGTAACGTTTTGGAACATGTTACATGTTCCACCCATTTTTAGGGTGGAATATGTAATATGTTCCAGCTCCTGCCCCCAGTTCCGCTGATCCCCCCCTCACTATGACAGCAGGCAGGGGATCGGACCTACTGTCACTTTTTGAAAAGAGTGCAGCCGTTTAGGGCTCTGCCCACACAGCTGCATCATTCAATCACAGTTTCCTGTGAATGAACTATAAGTACCATCAGCCATTGCGGCTAACGGCTTTTAGTTCTGAATGAACTGCAAAGGCACTGATGAGTGCTTTTGTAGTACATTCACAAGCCTTGCAGCTTTCAAACTAACAGCCAATATGAAGGCATGAGCTGAAAACTGAACAGCTTGTCTGCAGAAGCCTGACATTGCACCCCTGATCTACTGATCATGGGTGCAATGCTTTCCAGGCTCCTGCAGGAAAAAAATAGTAAATACATATTTATTTCAGCAAAAACATTGTGCATTTATTATTTTTTTCTGGAAAGGTGAACTTATCCTTTAATTAAATGGAGGATGGTACCCCCCTTTTTTCAGACTTCGGCTCCCTTACACTCCTAATCCCTGGCTCTCTGACACAGGTCAATTGGCTCTCATGATAGTGGAGTCTCTATCTGAAACAGTCTTATTCCATTGAATGATTTTTGTCTATCCACATATGTTTCTGTACCTTAGCGACACGACCCTTACCCTGAGGACCCAACATATCCTTGGAATGCCTAAAGTTGACATACACTCACCAACCACTTTATTAGGTACATCTGTTCAATTGCTTGGTAACGCAAATTGCTAACCAGTCAATCATATGGCAGCAACTCAATGCATTTAGGCATCTAGACGGGGTGAGGACAACTTGTTGAACTACAAACAGAGCATCAGATCATAGCATAAAGTGGTGTTAAAGGTTTTGCACAAAGTTAGTGTGCTCTTTCTTTTATTCTAGATTTGAACATTGTCCTAATGAAGGGTTAAAATCTAGCAGTTTAGCATCTACATTGTGTCTGTCAGTGTGTCCCCACTTTGCCTGGGGACACGATTACTTTGAAATTGTTCAGAGGAGCTTGCAGTCTGCGCAACGGCCTAAAGGACATTGAAAAACTAAGATTTTTTTTGCTTACATTTTTAGAAATACTGTGTGAATGGAAAATATAGCAAGCATTTAGTGGAGTTTTCTCAAATTTGACTGCAAAAGAGGAAATGCCTTTTAAAGTGTATCTTTATCCAACGGTTTCTTTTTGCTAGAGTATGAAATGATTAAAAGGTCTCTCAGTTTTGTATTTTACTGTCTGTGTCCCATCAGGTGGTTTCTCTCTCCCAAGTAAGGGGAAAAGCTCCTCTGACAGTTAGTACCAGACATGGTGTCCCTATTGGTAGATTCATCTTCTGCTGTGGTGACAACCATAATATTTGGGATCACTTTCTGTTTGAATGACAATGGTCACTGGGACAGGCAAGGCAGATCTCCATAGTGGAGACAAGGATAGCAATTAAACCTGACTGGGGTCCCAATCTTTCCCCACTGTAATAAAACAAATTATTTGGTTAGAAATATTCATGTGAATGCTTTGTGCACACTTTCTAAAAAACCACTAGATGCCACTAAAGAACTGGCAAATGCAAGTGTTTTACCCTAGGTTCACACCTAAGCATTCTCTGCAGCATTTTGCATTTTGCAGAAACGCAATACAGTCCATTTAACATGATTTCCTATGGGACATGTTCACATTTGCACATTTTCACTCGGTGCGTTTTTTTGGAAAGGGTCAGGGACTTTGAACACAAAAAGTTGAGTTTTTGGTTCTATAGACTTCAATGGAAACGCTGCAGAAAAGCATGCGTTGTTTTTATGCTGCGTTTTTTATGCATTTTTGCCATGTTTTTGATGCGTTTTCTGCAGCATTTTGCATTTTAAATCTGCCTAGCAACAACAACAAAAAAATTTAAAAATAAAAAAAAAAAACAAAACGCATCAAAAATACAGGTGAAAAAAAAGCAGTGAAGAAACGGCTCAAACGCAATCTGCATGGGTGTGAACCTAGCCTTAGAGCTCATTCACACCACAATGCACACACCAGCAGGCATACGCTGGCATGTATTTGCATATGGTTTAACATTGTATTGCAATGCATCCTCTTTTTTATTCTGTCTGGACTTGTCCTACCAACACAGATTGCAGTGTGTTGAAATGTGCTGTGCTAAACTGCAACCTAGGATTTTTTTTTTTTACTCATCATAAAATCCTTTCTTCAAGTCCATTGAGGAACAAAGCTGGACAGTAAGAAACCTGGGATTATACTGCTGCCTACAGAAGAAATGGACATTAGGTATAAAAAAGCTGAAGGCAAGCCCTCTTGAAGCTATAACCCCTCCTACCACACAACTGCTCAGTTGTCCCTCAATAGTCTCAGAGAAAACAATCCAGTTTTCTTCATTGTGCATTGAGGGACACAGCTAGATAATAAGAAATCAAGGGTCATGCAAAAGCAGTCCAAACTGAGGGGTGAGCACAGGTGAACTAACCCAACAAGAAAAGAGCAAAAACAAAACCAAGTGCAATAAATAGCCATTTGCAGAAACTTTCCACTGAAACAAGCATCTGCGGAGGTAGACATATTTATCTTGTAGAACTCTTTAAAAAAATAAGGCCTCCAGCCGTGGTGGAGTGGGCTGTAATAGGAAATAAATGCAGTTTATATTGTAACTCACAAGCCTACAATAACTCATCAGATCCCCCTAGATATAGTGGATCTGCAATCTGAGAACCTCTTTAACCACCTACTGCCTGCCATACAGTAAAATGACGGGTGCAAGGTGGATCTCACGTTCTGGGAGGACGTCATATGACGTCCTCCCATTCTAACCGCGCATGCGCGTCTCTCCGGAGCGTGCAGCGTGGCGATCGGCGGTGCGATGTGTCCCTCGGACACAGCGAATCACCGATCAACGGAAAGAGCCGAAGATGTTGGCTTGGTCATGTGATCAGCTGTGTCCGATCACAGCTGATCACATGTAAACAGGGAAATGCCGGTTATCGGCATTTCTCTCCCCACGAGCTGTCACGCTGACAGCTCATGAGGAGAAGAGAGCCGGTAATCGGCATTCCTCGGAGGGGACATGTACACAGATCATCAGAGCACTGATGATCAGTGTGCCCTGATGATCTGTGTAGCCCCAGCAGCGCCACCTGTCAGTGTCCATCAGTGCCAGCTCTCAGTGCTCATCCATGCCACCTGCCAGTGCCCATCAGTGCCACATCAATGCCACATATCAGTGCCCATCTGAGCTGCCTTTCAGTGTCACCCATCAATGCCACTCAGTGCCACCTATCAGTGTGCATCAGTGCATCAGTGCCTATCGGTGCCTATCAGTGCTGCCTAACAGTGCCAGTCAGTGCCGCCTATCAGTGCCATATATGAGTGCTCCCTTTCAGTGCCCATCAGTGATGCCTGTCAATGCCCATCAGTGCCACCTACCAGTGCCTCCTCTTCAGTGCCCATCAGTGCCACCTATCAGTGTCCATGAGTGCAGCCTATCAGTGCCCATCAGTGCAGCCTCATTAGCGCACATCAGTGAAGGAGAAAAATCACTTATTTACGAAATTTTATAACAAAAATTAAGAAAAAAACGTTTTTTTTTCAAAATTTTCAGTGGTTTTTGGTTTAAGAAAAAATAAAAACCCAGAGGTGATTAAATACCACCAAAATAAAGCTCTATCTGTCACAAAAAAATGATAAAAATTTCATATGGGTACAGTGTTGCATGACTGCGCAATTGTCAAAGTGCAACAACGCTGAAAGCTGGAAATTGGCCTGGGCAGGAAGGGGATAATAGTGCCCTGTAGGCTAATGGTTAAGGACCTGCTGAAATGACAAAAAAAGGAATCTGTCTGCCTAAAAGAAGTAATGGCAGAAAGGTAAACCCCGATGACCCTCACAAGATCCAGGCAATGATGAACCCATGCTAAACACAATGGTGAAAAAGATGTTTGTATCAAAACAACTTTGTCAGAACAATTGTTGCTACCAACAGAATAATGCCAATAATAAAGAAACCCCTCTGGCCAAAGAAATAGCCCAAATAAGTCTACCTGAAATGGGAGAAACACCAATAAATGTGAAAGAAGGACAGTGACAATAATAAATGTTAACCCAACAGTGTGAAGTTCCAGTAAGGGAAGCAATGTTTGTAACCCCATGTATAAAAATACAAATCAGCGAATGATTAGCAAGAGAATGTTGAAAAAGAACAGACATTTTGGATTCCTGAGCGCCAAATGTAGTTCTACCCCCAACTAGAGTAAAGAAAAGAAAAATCTCCAACCAAATGCATCAGTAAAAAAAATTCTTCCACATTCAGTGATAATTTCATGGAAAGATTTATGAGCTGTCAGTACTAGAGAATCCTAAATGCCCCTGTCTCAAAAACCTGGGTTTCAGCAGCCAGGTCATCAAGCTAGTAACCAAAAAGCAGGATGAAGGAGCAAAAGCAGATCTGGTAGAAGCTACAGAGCATCAGCTAGCATGTGAATGAGGTTGATGGGCCACACTCATTTAAGGCCTATCTGGAGCTATGAGAATGAGTGGAATGATCCCGACCTCAATCTTACAAAGCAGACTAGATAAAAGTAAATGCACAGATCAGGGTCCCATGGCACTGTCAAGGAATCTGCTGTGTCTGCCATCAGGTCCTGAATCCTTGAGACAAACCCTTTCAGCTTATTTTTGAATGGAGATACTAGCAAGTCCATATCCAGCATTCAATTCAGACATATGCCCCGTAACACCTTTGAATGGAGAGACCATTTCCTCTGGTGAAGGTGTTGTTTGAGAGAAAATCTGACTGCTAGTTTTTTAAACACAGGAATGTGTACTATAAAGTTGCTAGACCATGAAACTTCATCCAGGACAGGACAAACTCTATTTCTGTTGCAACACTCCTAGTGCTTCTGTAATGATTGTAAGCAACAACTGTGGCATTACCATTTGAACTGAGACTGGACAACCAGTCAGAAGGAGGCCCATGGATGTAACAACAGATAAAAAATCATCAAACTCTAGGATGTCTTTTGGAAACACTGATTTCTCCTGAGAGCACCAACCCTGAACATGCAAAGATGCAGGACTTCACGACAGTGGAGAAGACTGACATGCATTGTGAAATCTTCCAATATAAGATAAGAAAGACTCTATCTTCTGACATAAGTCACCATGACAGACATCTTAGTTCAAGAAAACAACCAGATATTCTTAGCCAGACAAATGTTGGACTTCTCCCACATTCTGAGAATGATTTCTTATAAAGTTCTGGAGTGAAATTGAGCAAATGAAAGCATATTTGCTAAATTCCCTTAAGGCATAAAGGTCTAAAAGGTATCCCAGAGAATGGTCAAGTACTTCAAGCGATGTGACAATATCAGAAAGGGCTTCTCGAAATTCAGGATGCATCTGAAGCCCTCCAAGGTCTCTATAGTGAAAGAGACATTGGAATCCAAGGGCAGAGAGATCAGCTCTTGTAAAAGCAGATCATCCAGTTATCCGATGACCTGGAATATCTCAGAGATGAAGACCCAAAAGTGGAACAAAGACCTTTGTAAATATTCTTGGAGTTGAGGCAATTCTGAAATGGAAAGGGATGGGCTTCAAACTGATAGCGTTTTTTTGGACAGTTTTTGATCTCTTGGTTTGCCAATGAATTTTAGAACCCTCTAAAGCTGGAACTGGAACCCGACTTGGGCAGACACATGGATACACTATGTCTACATAAGACTGGTATTTTTAATGGTTCTGTCTCAAAGGGCAGATACAGGGGTACACTGTGCTTACATAGAGTGGTCGTTTTCATGGTTTTGGCTTAAAGCAAACAGTACATGTATGTATTTAAAGTATGGTGTGTTAGATTGTGTTAAACGATGGATATGTTGCATATTATGTTGTATTGATGATGTTCTGATTATTACACTATATGATTTTTGCAGAAAATATCACTGTTCTTTTCTAAAGCAGCTGACTCAATAAGTCTGAAGCACGTTGAAATTGGGATCCCGCCCCACCATTAATCAGAAGTATAATATGTATTGGAATTTATGATCACATACTGTATATTGTTGACAAATACCTGTACCTTTTTAGGATTGTATAATGATATAAAGCATTAGGGGTGGTGTCAAAATACAGTCTTATGAACTATATAGACTTTTTTTAAATGGCTATGTTGCTAATTGTTATATATGTATAATAAAAAATATAGTTTAAAAAAAATGTGGTTTTGTTTGGTTTCTTTAAAGTCTGCCTATATATTCTTTTGTAAAAGTGATTTGTAAGACGTAAAAGAAGGTATAACATTTTCCTGTACCAAGCACAACCTTGACAGTGCAAATGAGGTCTTGCATAGAAGATCTGCTTACAGTTGCCGGGTACACACCCTTCCTTTTTGCACCAGACATGTTTTTAACAAGCTGTGTACCTTTAAGAGGAAAAAAAAAAAAAGTAACCATCCAAGTACCCCAGGAACACTCACAGAACTAAGCCAAAGGAATATTAGGGGTTAAATTAGCAACCAGGTTAGTGTGACCACTGGCAGAGTTATACAAACACCAGAGGCAGAGCAGAATGCCATATCACTGATGAGGAGGCTGTCGATGGAAGGGAGTGCTCCATTGCAGTCAACACCACACAGAAGAGATCACATGAAGGAGCAGTCAGCTAACACCTTCCAACATATTATTATTATACAGTATTTATAAAGTGTCAACAGTTCACTCAGCGCTGTACATTACAAAGGGGGACAGAACATGCGACAGTACAGTAACAATACAATGCGATACATGAGGGGTTCGAGGGCCCTGCTCTTTCGAGCTTACAATCTAGGAGGGAGGGGCGAGTGGTACAGGAGGAGATAGCTGTGGGGGATGGAGTGGTAAAAAGAGTAGAGGAAGTCGGCAAATTAGCAGGGGGTGGGGTAGGCTTCCCTGAAGAGATGGGTTTTCAGGGTACGCCTAAAGGAGAGGAGAGTAGGTGATGGTCTGATGGGTTGAGGCAGGGAGTTCCAGAGATGGGTGACACCCTGGAGAAATCCTGGAGGCGGGCATGGGAGGAGGAGACCAGGGAACTAGAGAGAAGGAGGTCTTGTGAGGAGCGGAGTGTGCGTGTTGGGTGGTACTTGGATATTAGGTTGGTGATGTAATTTGGGGCAGTATGGTGGACAGCTTTGTACGTCAGTGTTAGGATTTTGAATTTGATCCGTTGTGCAATTGGAAGCCAGTGGAGGGATTGGCAGAGGGGGATGGCAGAAACGGAGCGGTTGGTAAGGTGAATGAGTCTGGCTGCCAGATTCAGGATCGACTGAAGTGGGGATAGCCTGTGGTGAGGCAGGCCAGTGTGGAGGGAGTTGCAGTAATCAAGTCGTGATATGATGAGGGAGTGGATGAGCTGTTTAGTGGATTCTGGGGTTAGGAACGTGCAGATTTTGGCGATGTTGCGGAGGTGGAGTCTGCATGAGTTTGTTAATAATTGGACTTGGGGCTGGAAGGATAGGTTGGAGTCCAAAATGACACCAAGTACTCTGGCCTGCGGGGCGGGCCTGATAGTGGCATTGTTGGACGTGATGGAGAAGTCAATGGGGGGTGGTGTGCAGGCTGGGGGTAAGACTAGGAGCTCGGTTTTGGAGAGGTTCAGTTTAAGGAAGTGGAGCGACATCCAGTCTGATATGCCGTTCAGTAGGTTTGTGATTCGGGCAGAGACTGAGGGGGTGAGGCGAGGGGTTGAGAGATAGATTTGTGTGTCGTCGGCATAGAGGTGGTAGTTGAAGCCGTGAGAGTGTATGAGTTGGCCAAGAGAGGAGGTGTAGATGGAGAAGAGAAGGGGCCCAAGGACGGAAGCCTTGAGGGACCCCAACAGAGAGGGGGAGTGAGGGGGATGTGGTAGCGTTATAGGTAATGCTGAAATAGCGTTGTGATAGGTAGGATGAGAGTCAGGAGAGAGCGTAATCTCTGAGGCCGAGGGAGTGTAGTTTTTTGAGGAGGAGGGGGTAGTCGACTGTGTCGAAGGCCGCGAGAGAGGTCAAGGAGTAGGAGCACTGAATATTAGAACAGTCTTCTAAACAGAAAAAGGTGGAACATTCAAATTGATGGATGGGCCTAACAGTGCTCAGCCATCTCAGCAGTTAACACCAAGTGTGCATGTAACTGCGTCACAAGGCCTATTGAGCAGAGAAAACAGAGGGATATTTAAAACTGTAGTTGAGCCTACAAATTCCTGGGTTGCATCAGCAGTGAAGATTCCCAAATCCAAATTAAAAAAAAAAAGGGATTCAATACACTGCAACATGACAAAATAGTAAAGGATAATTCTGGCATGCAATCTTCTTAGACTGAATAGGAAAGCTCAGTAAAGGAAGGCGTTTAACCACTTCAATACCGGGCACTTTTACTCATTTCCTGCCCAG